AACTTCTAGAGCCGGCTCTCTGCACTTCCATAGCCGGCTACAAGTTTTAACAGCCGGCTCTCTGCACATTTTCAAGTCTTTTGGTCTATTTTTAGTGCAATCCAAGTTTACTTATTTTGCAATCTTTTGACATTTTAATTACACACTTAAATGAACCAATTAGTCACTCAAATGTGTTTTGTAATCATCAAAATCATAGGTACAACAATATATATATGAGAGAGATATAGAGAGAGAGAGAATGTGGAGTAGATAGATAAATATAATTAATGACAAAATTTGAGAGAATAAACTAATAAATGAAGTCTCAAGAAAAATTAATGAAAGGTGAAGCATAGGTAAGTGAAAAAGTACCAAAAAGAAAAAATTGATCTAAAAAGAGAGATATTTTAATGGATAAAGATTTAAAAGAATGATTAAAAAAGAATGATAGAGGTGAGAGGATAATCAGAGAATGAATAAATAATGAATGAATTACTAATATAAAGAGGGAAAATGAGGGAGATAATGTAGACTCTTTACCTTAATTATATTGGTTAAAACTTATAACTTTACTTATATGTGTAGAAATTTGTTGCATATTGTAATATCCCAAAATTTTTTGAAATTAAGAATTTAAGTTAGGGACTTATGTGGGAGAAATTATTATTGCGGGGCCTAATAACTAAATTAACTAACCTAAGGGTGGGTTAAAAGAAAAATATGGTGATAAAAGGGGCTAAGGCTAATTTTCCTTTTTCTTTCTTTTCCTTTTTGTGTTTCCCCGCAGCCCCATCACCAGAAAATTTCTTACAAGTCCTAGCCTATGCCTAACTCTTTCTCGCTAAAAATTAGATGAGATTTAGTTCTTTTTTTTTTCCTCTCAAGTCTGATTTAGAGATTTATGAGTTTATGTTTCTCAAAATGATGATCAAAACCCATATCTTGTTGTTGATATCCTTCTAATTTTCTGGTCTGTGTCAAGCTCTGTACAATGTAAAGGGAGGTCATTATTTTCTAGCATTTTCCAATAAGAAATCATCCACATTGCTCATGATTTAGTTCTTTTTTTTCCTCTCAAGTCTGATTTAGAGATTTATGAGTTTGTGCTTCTCAAAATGATGATCAAAACCCATATCTTGTTGTTGATATCCTTCTAATTTTCTAGTCTATGTCAAGCTCTGTACAATGTAAGGGGAGGTCGTTATTTTCCAGCATTTTCCAATAAGAAATCATCCACATTGCTCATCTTTTCATTTTTGATTTAAACTGGGTTAATTCTAAACGTTTAGGGTTTTCAATTTGAGATTTGTTTATGTAATCTTCCTCATTGATTTGTTGCCCATAATTTAGTGCCATTAGATCTGATCCCTTTTTGCTAGAAATTCTGGCAGCATGACCTTGCAATAGTGTTTTGCCCATAACTCTCTGTAGATATTGGATTAAGAGCATTCTTGATTTCATGGAAAGTTAAGAGATAACTCTAAAGTTTTTCTATTGGAAATTTAACTCAATTAAGCTGTTTTAAAGGTGAAAACTCTATTGCAAATTCAATTCTTGAAGGTAGATGGAACTAGCAACCTGACTTTATGTTAGTATTATAACTATAACTTTCTTGGTGGATGCCAGATGAAGGTGATTTTTGATCCTATAGAAAGTTAAGACGTAGGGCTACAATTGATTTATTAACATTTTAGCCTAGATTACTCAATTTCTAGGTGTGAATTTTGTTGGAACTTTCGGCTTAAAATCTGACCAGAACTTTCCCACAAAAGTGCTTAGAAATTTGCTCTGTTTTCTACTTTATTCCCACATTACCTACTACCACATCACATTTTCATTACATTGTGGTTTTACTAGACTTTTAGCTACTATTTTTCTACTTTAAAACTCCTTGTTATTCCTTTATTTTGCTCCCTTTTTGCTGTTGTCCATTTCTACCTAGTTTTAGTTTATACTCTACACTGTTTTCATTGTTGTTTTTGCTAGAAAATCTTTGCTGTTCAGAGTGTTTTTCTAAACATTTTGGGACTCTTTCAAATGGTGGAAACCCCCACCTTGCTACCTAGTTTTTGTGATGTTATTTGGGATAGTTTTGACCTTGGATTCTCACATTTTTCCACATTATTCTGCCTAGAAAATCTATTTGGAATATTTGTTGTTTCGTGTGACATTTGGAGCTGTTTTAAGCCTATTATAAGTATGATTAAACATATTAAAATATTAGTAAGGTTTCAAAGGGTAGAGGTGATTGGGAAGTGTAGGAGGAAGTTGTTTATTTGGTTAGGAACTTGATTATGGAATTAGGAACCAAATTAGTTATATGAACTATGCTGTAATCTTATTTATTCATTTGATGTGGTATAGGTTCTAAATCACCTTAATAGCCTTGAGTTCTTGAATTCTTGTTGTTTACCTACAAGGCGAGGTAAGTAAAATTATAGTAAATGCCTTTGGATTTTAAGCTAAAGGTTTTTAAAAGTATGTTTTGACTATTTTTGAGATGGTGGTAGGACCTAAACTGATTTTTATTAGCATATGAGCATGATTGGTTTGAAATGAAGTTGCTATTATTTTTATTGAGTTGAGCATGCCTGCATGGATTTTACTTGATTGTCCTGATGATCTAAAATTGGTTTGAAAATTATGATTTTTCCTGACTCTTGCATATTTGTAAATTATGAATTTTTCTATTAACTCCTGCATAGTTGTAAATTATGGATTTTCCTGTTGAACTCTTGCATGGTTTTCTCTTCCATATGGTCATGATTCCTGAAGCCCACTAGTGGGAGTTGTAAATGTTGGCACATGTTGACATGTTGGCACATGTTGACATGTATATCTATGGGACCAATTCATTTTGTATTCCTATTTATTCTTGTCAATGAGATAGTACGCTAGTTATTCCTATTATTCCTACTAGTAAGATAGTACATTAGTTATTACTAACGCCTGCCAGTGGGAGTTTGTTAAACACTGGCCATGACTAATTGAGGAGACCACTATTGAGTTTTACTCTGCATTAATGGTTTATAACTTAGATTTTCTTTTGGTTTATATTTTAAATTGTTTATCTGGTATGCTTTAACTTAAAATAAGGGCTACCCATATTTACTTACTAAGTTATCTCATATAGTTTTTCCTTCATCCACTATTTCAGGTAGTGAGACTAAAGATGTGGGAAACCGAGGGAAGTGACGAGCTAAAAGGTTAGCCACTTATATTTTGGAGTTAGTCCATTTTGGAGATAGGCCCACTAGGCTAGATTTCCCTTGGAGATAGTCATGACTATATTGATGAGTTGTAAATTTTTGTGCACTCTTGGCCTAGCAAAGCTTGGATTATAAAAGCTAGATTTTATTTTGAGATTTTGCAAATTAATTTAGTGGATTGCCAGATATGAATTAAGTAGGTGTTGAGCTTTGTGCATTTGTGAGATCCTTTCACAAGTGTACAGTGTCTATCTCGCTCTCGGTTTTGGGGTGTAACACATAGATTATTGAATTATTTGTAATTTTAAGATATTTATGTTGTTATAATCTTAAGAAAACAAAAAATGTCTAATGATAGATAAAAAGAGAAAATTAGGTAAAAAAAAAATATAATGATGGATGAAGATATGAAGGATGAATAAGTAAGAATGATATTAGGGGAGGATATGTAGAGAAATAATAATAATAAATAAATTATTAATTTAGAAAGGGAAAGTGAGGGTAAATATAATTTAGAGTGAGAAAAAGTGACACCCTAAATTAAGAGATGGTGTTGAAAGAAAATTTAATGAAAATTGGGAGTAATGGTAAGGAAATGGAAGTAAAACAATATTAATGAAATAATGTTAAAAAGTTGTCACTTTTAAGTTTTAACTTATAACACATCTAATATATATAGATAGATATGGCATGCTCAATTAAGAGATGGTGTTGCAAGAAAATTTAATGAAAGTTGGGAGTAATGGTAAGGAAATGGAAGTAAAATAGTATTACTGAAATAATGTTAAAGAGTTGTCACTTTTAAAAGTTTTAACTTATAACACATCTAATATGTATATATATATATATATATATATAGATAGGCAAATAAATAGATAGATAAAAATAGAAGTAAGAAGGTGCCAATAAGATAACATTAAAAAGTTGTTACTTTTAAATTTTAATTTATAACACATCTATAATATATATATATATAGAGAGAGAGAGAGAGAGAGAGAGAGAATTGGAGTAGAAAAGAAGGTATATAATGATCAATAGAGGTATGAGAAGTAGAAAAAAAAGGATAATATAGTGGAATGATAAAGGGAAAAAGAATAATAACAAATAATTTAATAATATATAGAGAGAAATTGAGGATGAATATAGTTAGATAGATAAATTAATATAATAATAAAATATGTGAATATAAATGAAGAGATGGCATCATAAGAAAAATAAATGAAAGGAGTATAGATACATAAAAATGTATAAGAATAATATTAATGAGTTATATTTTTTATGTTTTAATTTAAATTCTTCTAATATTGACATTCCAAAATGAGCAAACAGATTGGGGTAAAAAAGAGATACATGATAATAAAAGGTATAGATGTAAAGGCAAAAGAATTAATGATAATTTGATGAACCGCTATTTCGTGTTTATCTTAAAAAATTTTAATTGACATGATAGTTAAATTTATGTTTAAAAAAACTAAAATGTGTAGTACAAATGAATCTAACACAGCTTTAGAGTTTAGTTTTTCTTTTTTTTTTTTTTCAAAAGAGCCTAGTTTTTAAATATAATTATTTTTTAATCTAAAAATTATAAGAAATTTTAATTATTTATGATGATAAAATAAATAATTAAAATTTTATATAAATAATATTTATAAAAATAATATATAAGTGAATTTTAATTTTTATAAATATATATATAGATATATATATATAAATAGAAATATTTTTTTAAAAAAATAGTAGTAAATTCGATTGGGCTTCAAAAACATGAGCCCGCACTCTGACAAACAAGGCCTGAGCCGTCCGACTGACATTTCCATCCTGTCTTGACCTCTGTGCCAAAAAGATAAGCTCAAAAGCTAGGGTTTGGAAAAGCGAAGGAATCGTATCGATTTCTAATTTTCGTTTTCTTTTCTGCACCTGCAGCTTCTCAGAGAAAGGTATATTTTTCATTTTGTTTGAATTTCATCTATTATATTATTATTATTATTATTATTATTATTATTATTTCCTTTAATTCTCACATCATTTCGCATGAATTTTCCGTCGGAAATCGCTTTAGCGGTCGTTTATATAAATGATATCATCCATTTATCTTATGCTGTTAGATACGATTTTCCCTTCCCTGTTTTTTGAATGTAGATTTTATGTTATAATTGAGTTTCTTGCAGATTCTGGATCTTTGTAAATTTTCGTTAGATTAATAGTTTGAACCTGATTTTTTTTTTTAATGATTATGTCTAGTTTAGGATTCTCCTTTCATTTTATTTTGTTTTATTTGGGTCAGTTTTGAACTCTCTCTCTCTTTTTTTTTTTTTTT